TTCACTCAACACATCTGTGAATTAATGCATCAATATGTACTATTTCCATTAATTAAAAATCGCTCTCATAAATTGAGTACGAGTCTTTGTGTATAGAAAATCACGTGAGTCAGGAAAGGTTAACTTCTGATTCGAAAAATAATCGATAATTCTGCTTGCTTAACCTTCTTAACCCCGAAATATTTTTGTACCACCTATGTGAAATCCGCCGACTAAGCGATAATTCGAACGACAGATATCTATCGACCGAGGATTCTATCAGAGCAATTCTGCCTCGTTCACGTGAAACGCGCGTGTATCAGCGGACGCTTCATACAACTGTCTCACATCGCTTTATTAAAATAGCGCATCGCATAAAATTAACTTCAACAGCCGCGTCGAGTAATTTTAAATCGACTCGAATAAGAAACGAGAGGTACGCCGTAAAAAGAACCTAAGAAATACTATAACGGGGTATTCGTAGAAAGCGCGGGCAAGGCGCTTTCGCTGCATACGCAAATGCTGCCTCGTGATATATTCGGAAGATATTGCGAAAGGCCAGCGAACGACAGCTCATGCGCTTATCGCTCTTGCTTATCAAAATTGTAATGTCGTCTCCGAACTTGCAACGACGCTACCGTGAACTTGAGCCGCCGCTGTCTCATCACGGTCGTGACTCGCGAAAGAGCGCGATTGCAGAGTCAACGATGAAGGCAAAATAGCGTGTTAAGGATCGTCTACAATGTGATCATAATCACGTTTCAAAGTCGTAGCGCTATACAGGAAAAAATGTCATTCTACTGTTGAGAAAAGCGATTGCTCAGTTTACTTTCCTCTTTTGAGGTAAAGGTAATCTTCAGCAAAGAATATTTTTTATAATAATCCTAAAATACTCATCACAACTTCTGTAGAACCTTATTATCATGTACTTAAAGAAGAATTTATTCTCCTCACAAGAATAACATAAAACTTTATCTAAGGAAACGTTATCTAAGGAAAAGTCGGTTCCTACGTAGTAGCAAACCGAGTTTTTAATTTTTAATTTTTATTCTTGATTGAAATGATGAACTTACTAGGATTCAGAATGTATTTTGAATGTAATTTGAAGTTTATCATGAACTTATGATAGATTTACGATAAACGTATAAAACTGTATAAACTTATGAAATACTTGGGACAAATAACGTTTATTTGAATGCAGTATGCGTTTTTCTGTGTGTAGTCCGTGAATCGATTACGTATGAAAAAGTTTCATTGACGAATTCAATAAAACTTTTCATTTTTTACGAAAGAAATAGATATATGGTCGATTCACGGATCAGTGCTACGACTTCGAAACGTAACTGTGACCGCACTGTACATGACCCTTTAGTGTTCGCGAAATAACACAGGAGTCGTATTACGCGGTGTACGATCGAATGCCGGTTCTCAGCAATTCGCGCGCGTCCAATTTCGCCGAGAGCTGCAGATCATTTCCTATCAAATCAGATGCCTGCCGTTTTTCGTCACAGCCTCTACGTCACGGTTGTCTGCTCGCCTGCAACACTCCTACAAAGTCACTTATAGACGCACATCGTATGCACATGTATGTGTTACGTACACATGTATGTGTTACGCGGTATAAGACAGCCAGGCGTGGTAACCGCGATGACGTTTACGCCACCGCAATGACGTTCTCGCCCTTATCGGACGCTCTATATACCTCGTCGCACATTTCACATATCACGGACGGACCTTTATCTACCCACTTACCGCGTTAACGCTCGCGGAGGACGATAGCGGGGTGTCCTCCTAACTTGTTGATTAGGGTCACAGCGCTGTGAAATTACTCGCTAGGGTGACAAAGTCTCTCTCGTGAAGATTCGTTTGACGTTACATCGCGCTCTCCGTAGAAATCGCGGCTGAAAGTAGTCGAGAGTGCACTGAGGGCGATGTGATTCTGGGATGTGTGGTGTATATATTTTTAGATTATCTTTTTTTTTTCTTTATAATATATACTGCGGTTTTTGCCCAGGGCTTTTGCTTTGGAAATATTTAGATCTCGCGTGGGTAGAGGAGAACGAAAGGGCCCATGTTTGAGTCGTTTGAGATTATTCTAATCTAATAATGCGAAGAAACGGAGCGTGCACGAATCGGAAAAAGCCGGGCGCGTTTGTGCACTTGACACACAGAGCGCGATGGTGAGTCTATGTTAATTGAGAGGAGGGTATTGACTCCTTTGACTCCCTCCTGTCGCGTGAACTCGTTTTGTTCGCTTTCGGTCACGCCTTTGTCTCTTTATGACTTGGAACGAGGAGAATTTACGCGGGGCGCTGCGACAACTCGTTCAAAAGAGTCCGTGTTCCGCGTTACCGTATCACCAGAGTTCTTCCGCAGCAATGCAGTGAATTTCCGTTACGATAAGCACTGAATAAGTCACTAGAAAGAGTATCTAAGCGAATCTATCTGCTCTGAAAATACATGAAAAATGTATCGAACGCGATGTGGACAATTCCAGATTTCTACACAATTTTATAGCAAAAATTACTATGGAATTTTGTAACCGGAGAGTAGATCGCAATTCTACAGTAATTTATTACTCTTGCATTCCATATACGCTATTTATACACACTATTTAGGAACTGTAAAGTGCTATTAAAAAGATTGCTATATTCATTAGCAAAATAAACCTTATTGACAGTCTATTTCTGCACTACCAAAAATATAATAAAATTGAAAAGAATTTGTGAAAAAAATTAATATTCTCTCTTCGCGTAACGTTCTAACATTTAAAACTAGAACTATTAAAGCAATCAAAATAACGCGAGGTTTGTAGTTTTTTATAAAAATTACTCAAATTTATGACGTGCATTTTATATTTTTAAGTTTTCCGGATACTCGCCACGACCATGTTGGATCGTGACGCGAGAAGTGACACGCTGAAAGTTCTTATACGCCATTTTCAAATAAAACTCTTGATTGATGATGTCAGAAGCGAAAAAGCATGCTCAAAATTCTTGCGCACCATTTTCAAATAAAAAGGCATTTAAATGAGAAAGCACTTAAAATTGCTTGAACATATTTGTGACTTCGAAAACTATTATTTTCCTTTGAGTGTTAATAAATAGCCGTAAAATTAACACGACAAAATCACAAAACAGAGTTGATTAAAGATTAAGGTTACTTGTCATGTTAATTTTACGGGTATTTATTGATTGTCAAAGAAAAAGAATAGATTTCAAAGAATTTTATAAATATACTCAAGAGAGCAATCTGCCTTTTCATACAAATATCTTTTTATTTGAAAATAGTGCGCAAGAATTTTGAGCATGCTTTCTCGCTTCTGACATCATCAATCAAGAGTTTTGCGGTGAAAAATTAGGAGTCTCAATTGACGTTGAATAAAACTAAAAAGAAATTAATGACGTTGAATAAAATTAAGTCGACATTTTTGCTTTTGCATTATTTAATTTTTCAAAAAATCTGTCATTTTAATCACTCTGATAAAAATAGATCATTAGTTCTAATGTTAATGTGCGAGTTACGAAGTCGTCTTATGATAACTTGTTCTGTGCTATAAATTTTGGAATTTAACGTAATTTCAATGCAATACAATATACAGTCAGTCCCATCGTTATAGGTGCGATATAGAATAGATAATAGAATAGATATATGTGGTTCCACTGAAAGATATATTAATAAATTAATGAGAGAGGTTCTGAGAAGAAAAATTGTTCTCGATGGTCTTAAATCAAAAGAGTCGTGGATATAAAATAATTATGTTTATTATACACGTTGATCCCCTTTCCGTCAATTTAAATTCCGTTCCCTACATTTCTTTGTCTTTTTTATGTCCTCAAAGCCAGCAGAGATATTTAAATATTCTGGCAACTCATCCTGCGTAACGTATATCTATGTAACGTATACGACTCTCCGATCGTCGGTAACATTATTGCTAAAGGTAAACCATTGGATAAGTTTCTGAGAGACGCACTGTATGTTCCAGCACATGGTTTAACGATGACTCATGGTATTCGCATGAAAAAAAAGAATGCTTAGTAAGCGTAATACTTGGCAAATAAGCGGCGTTTGTCCTCCTGGAAATACGTATCGCAACTCCGATAGCTTTTAGAACGACGAGACTATTTTTCCACGGCGACGGAATCCCTCACTCTATCGATTTATCATATAATTATTAATAGTAGCTTAGCACGTGAAAAATAAGCTCAAGGAGGAATACGTCGTGTGGGACATATTGTGATATGTCGCGCATTTTCTTCATTTTTATTTTGTGTCCTTTCGTTCTCGCGCGATGCAACTTCACTTCTAACCTCTGCAACGATCGACCTTTTCGCCACGACGAAATTGAGAAATCGTTTTCGCGAGCAATAATTTGCATGACCTCGGACGTGCCCGCGGAAAGAGAAACGCGGTACTGACGCAAAACACCTCGACGAAAAACGTACGAGTTTTCTTGCACTTGTTGACTTCTTGCACCATTAATCATCTCTTCTCTCAGCTTGTAACTATATCAAGAACGCTAACAGAATCGATTTCCTCTGCTTTAAACGCGCGCTGATATAATTCTTCTATTATTCATATATCTCTTATTCTCTCTTTAACCTGCTGTTTATAAAAAATTGCTGTAACTCGAAATATCTGTTGGCGCTCTGAGTTTAATCGATTGTTCGCGGATTTAAAGGAATACTGGATACCGACATATGATGCAACTTTCGTATTTCGTACTATTTTGTCGTATAGAATTGCAAATGCTTATGCAGAATGAAAGTACAAATGTCAATGAATGGCGGAGTAGCTGATGTTATATCAAAAACAAAAAGAATTTTTAATAAATTCTTTAAAATTTATTGTATAACATTTTTATTCTATGTAAACATTTGCAACAATAAAATAGAAAAAAAACATACAAAAGACGAAACTATGTTATGTCGGTGTATTCAGTATCCTCTTAATCCGTAGCAATCCGCACTCCTTATCCTGGGGAATCTAATACTAACGTTTTGTGCTTGTATTGTTTACAGACGCATGGTTTAACCCTGAAAGACTGAACCCACGAGGTAAGAGAACCAAGAAGGAGATATTCTTTGCTTTTTCTGTTTGTAGTGTAGTAACTTTGCTCGATTTTCTCCGAAAATTGCCGAAGATTCGTGAGATACATTACACGACATATGTAATATATTTTATACTACAATATAAATATGTAGATGTGTATGTAAATGTAATATATTTTATATTATACACAAATTTATCTGTAATCCTTCTTAAGACTTAGTGTGTACATAATTATGTACATTCATTTTTGGTCCTTTTCAAGCAAGACTAACTTATAGAAGATATTTAGCATATAGAATGAAGGAGGAGTGAAAGGTTCGATACAATTCCCTGGAGTTATTCTATAAACATCCCTTTACACTGAAACAAAACAAACCAAAGAAACACCGGATGACAAAAAATTTCAAAATCTGGGTGCTAATAAGGGAAGACTGGAAAAAAATATTTGAGAGCCGGAACATGAGGTACACGGACGGATCAAGAGCAAACGGATGCTTTTACTCCAATGGGCTTAATATGAACTATGGAGAAAATATTTCCATGGGTGACGTAGTTACAGTCTTTCAAGCTGCAGTGAACTGGCCATCCTAAGGCGCATAGAATTCCAGATTTCTAATGAAATGGGAAAAGGAACACATATATCTACTCTGATAGAGCAACCATAATGGCGTTTGCTAAAACTACTATGAAATCGTGATTTGGAATTACAAAAAAGCGATGGAAGAGTTAAATAAAACTAATAATATAACATTATCCTAACCTGGGTTCCCGTATTAAAATGTAACAAGGTTACATTAGATGTAACAGACAATAAAGCGGCGGACAAACTTGCTAAAATAGGGATTGAAACTTAAATAAAGTGACTGAGGTTCTCTTTGTCACTGGTACAAACATTATTAAAAACTGCTAGAAGCAAGAATATTTGAAAGGTTAGAGAACAAATAAGAGGTGTCGACAATCCAAGTTACTTATGAACCAATCTTTGCTAAGCAGAACAAAAAAGCTTTTGGTTATGAATAAACAAAAACTGAGAATATGCATTGGCCTTTTAACAAGATATGCAACTATCACGCTACAGTTGTGGAGGTGAGAAAGAGGATAACATATTCATTTTATGTTGTCCAGTACTCGTTTGCAAAAGAGACCGACTTCTAGGCAACATGTTCCTAAAACCCAAGGATCTGGAAGAAGTAAGGCTGAATAGTCTATTAAACCTGGTAACATTAAGCTAGAGTTATTAACATCATAAAATAAAAAGCAATCGATATGTCACAATGAATCCTCAAGGATCTAGGTGACTCAAGGACTCATACAAACTTACCGCAATTTATTAGTTTATATATTATTTATTATTTTGTATATTGACAAAGTAATGATTCCGTCGATACAATATTGTCGATCCATCCTAGATAGAGTTATATATATATACTCTTCATCTCAACCAGTGAACAGTGATTTTCCCGCCAAACAGAACCAATATGGTGATTGTGTGCAGAGCAGACTTGTTGATGCTCGAAATTGTAGTTTTTCACGAAAAAAAAAGTAAGCAGATTTTATTTACTGAATTTTTTATCGATGTCATCTTAAAGTATAATGATCAGTGACGCGTATGTTTGACAACGACATAATTTCGCTTCTTATGTCCACATAAATAAACTAAAGTTGATATTCATAGACAGATCTTATATTTTATTTATAAGGTTGTTTTAAGTTCTTCAAACACTTTGTGCATCATTTTATTGGTTACGGAGCATCTGAGGATGAACTTGAAGCTCCTCGGTGCTGTCCGCGGCCATGTCAGATTATAGAGTCAGAGACGAGAAGTGACAATTCTTACGCGCTATTTTTAAATAAAAAGATATTTGAATGAAATAACACTGAGATCGCTTGAGCATGTTTATAAAATACTCCGGAATTGTCCTTTTTCCTTGACAGTCAATAAATAGCCGTAAAATTAGCGTGACAAAAATATGAGACAAGAGAAGAAGTTAAAGAAGAAGATCGCGTGTCATTAGTTTTACGGCTATTCATTGATTGTCAAAGGGAAATAATAGTTTTCGGAGTATTTTGCTTTTGACGTTATCAGTCAAGAGTTCCACAGTGACCAGAAACCTTAAAAGAATCTTAAAGATAAGATCTTAAAGATGAGATCGAGCTATGAATATATCGATCTGTTTTACACAAATTGTATGAAAGAGAGTTTCTAAATGAACCGTGGTAGCGAAGGTGTTGAAGTTTCTTCGTATGCGATAAACTATACAATTCCGATGTTCTAATGAATCAAGATAAATGGACTACGCGTAGACCAGAAAATTTATTATTGCGGCAAACCGCATGCAACAGAGAAAGACTAGTAAATTTATTACAAGAAAAGAAAGGTGGTCGAAGTTTTACCGTCGGGGGAACAAACTTCTTCGCGACGGCCTTGACGTAAACGGAAAGTGTTTTCCTCGGCAGAGTACGACGCCCGCTGCGCGAGAGGCCTCTTGTGTCACGAAGTAAAGGGTCAAAGAGGGGGTGCTTTCCGAAGGGACGTTCGAAGCACAGAAAGTCGGCACATAATAAGTCGGTACGCTCGCGATTTCGCATCGGTGGCACTTCTGCCTGTTCGTTCGATGCCCGTCGTTCTCGGACGCTACTAAATATAACGTCCAGCCAGCCTCTCGTTGGTCCACTGCCAGTTTTCCGAAGACCCTCGTCGGGGTTTCCAAGCCGACAGTAGTTCCCTCGGTCGACGGAGTCGTCGGTGCCGGGACGTGCGTGTGCCGCTCGCTCCGGTTCTCTTTCCCTTCCGCTCGGTCTTCTGAAACCGGTGCAGCCTCTGCTCCCCTTCAGCCGGTCGTTGGGCTCCACTGGGACGGATATCGCGCCTGTTCGTGTAAATAATCGCCGATCGAAGGGAGCAGACGGGAAGAAAGGAGGAAAAGGAGAGAGGGAGAAGGAAAGAGAATGAACCTAGGGAAAATGGCCATCACGAAGGAGGAATGTGAGTAACGGCGAGGATCTCGCGACGACAACGACCATTTGGCACACGTCGCACTGGCACTCGTTGAGACACCGAGCCTCCGCGGATGTAGAAGGGCGACGTGGGGCGAAAGAGGCACGATGAATATGCGAAAATACAAGGAATAACGAGTAAAATATAACGGCCACACCACACCGGGAACATACAATGGAACGACGACGCGTGGTGTCATTGATCGCCGGCCGGCTGATAGAACGGACGAGTGATTCTGTGCTTATCGAGATGTTTCAGGGTCGCGTGTTCATCCATTGTTTGTTGTGTCATTTGAAGAGTTATTCCTTGTACACGTTTCTTACACGTCCGGCCGTACCTCGACTCGGAACTCCCGTCGCGAATCGTCTCGTTTCGTGAAACGTCGAATTAGCGGAGGCTTGAGAACCCCTGCGCCAGAGGTTTTGTCACGTTACGTATAGTTTTCGTCGTCTAATTCTGTCGGTGCTTCGACGAGAAAGAGAAAGAGAGATAGAGAGAGAGAGAGAGAGAGAGAGAGAGAGAGAGAGAGAGAGAGAGAGAGACTCTTCGACACGAGCCCGGCCATCGGTAATTGGCGTAAAGAGACAATTATCTGGTGTTACAAGTGGAGCGATTTAATAGGCCGAGCTGGTATGCGTGATCATATGTGTGTATCGCGACCCTGAAAAGAATCCAATAATAGATAGCTCGGGAATCGTCGATATTCCGTTGATATTTTACTGTGGCATCGTGATCTTTGCGAAAGGTGGCATCGATCCGTGCAACGGGGGCTGTCTTCTCGCAAATGTATAGGCTGTTTTTCGCAGTTTCTTCACTGTCGACAGCGCTGTTCCGCTTTTGTTTTTGCTCGTCGTACAAAAACGGAACGACGCTGACGGTACATACACTCACAGCTGGATAGCTTGTTCGCTATTTTTCGTGCGACTTGCGGAACGTATACGTCTTGTCCAAAGGGGGAATTCTCTCATCGGAAAACAAATTCTTCCATTGGACAAGACGCATGTGTTCCGGAACTCACACGAAAATAACCTATCTGGCCGCGAGTGCACTTGTTACACCGACGGTGTAAATAACGCGAAGCGCACACAGTTCTAGAATCAATTTTCTAATAGTAATTTAGATTTAACTTTTGTTCTGTCACAATGTGTTTGAGCAGAGTTTAAACTTAAAAGCGATATTTATAGTAAAATTTTATATTTAACATTGTGTCGAGTTCATTTTCAGACGCTGCATTTTTGGACGGATCACTTTTCATTGGCTGCGAAATATCTAAAGATGAACTTAAGACGATCTTAAATATAGGGTCGGACTATGAATACCAACCTAAATGCTCGTTTCTACGAACGTATTAAAAGCGGATTAAACTTTAATTTTAATTTAAACTCTATTTAGACAAAAATTCGAACTTAAGATTTAAGCGGAGGCTTACATAACTGATAAATAGGAGGTTTTTACAAACAGAGATATGAATAAAGATATTAATATAGGATTTTGACCATACTATTTATTATCGCTTCAAGTATAAAAAAATTACTTTAAATTATAAAAATTCTGCCCAAATTTTTTATGCGCGGTGTCGTCGGATACCTCTAACTAGTGAGCAATATTACATTCGTGTAATAATTTGAAACAAATGGGATTAGAAAATTTAAAAATCGTAGTAAATATGCTGGAAGATGAACGTTTATGTGCAGAAAGTTGACATTTTACAAAATGATGGCACTTCGAAATTATTGTAATCATTTTCCTCTCTATCTGTTTTCTTTTAGTGTTCCGGGAAAAATATTAATTTTGGAAATTTGCCAAAGATTTTAAGGTTTCATTCTTCAGAAAATTTAATACAATTGTTTAATTTGTTTATCCCATTTGTTTCAGGTTATTGAGCTGTAATACTGCCCAGTTAGAAGCGTTTAATTAAAAAAAATTTTTTAGTAATTTTTTATACTTAAAATAAAATGATAAATAGTATGGTCAAAAACTTACATTTTTATTCATTTCTTTGAAAAA